GTGGTTGCTAATAGCGGTACTCAGCACCTTTAAAAATGGCTCAACCACTCCGTGACGCAGCTCGACGCCTGTAGTTGCCGTCTGCAGTGCTTCGTTCATGTCTTCAGAGAGGGGTGCAGCGATATCTTCGTGCAGCTCATACAGATCACCCAGCAGTCCTTGCATCTTGGCCAGCTTGAGTTGGAGCTCCTCGAGCTCTAAGCCACGGCTCCACAGCAGCTTCGACGCAGTCACACTACGCCTGGAGGCCCTGTCGCTGGGGTTAGAGATTGGCATTGCTGCCAGTGCCGCCGTGTCCTCCCCTGAGGGCATCTTGATCGTCTTTTGGCGTCTTCTCGATCTTCGTCTAAATCTTTGCAAATGGACCGGTCCGGACCGCTCTCTCCTGGTGTGGTAATTTACCACGAACGGCGCCGGTCACAGAAATATTCAAAAAAAAGTTTGCATTCGATTTTACAGGGAAGTTGCTGAAAGGCGCCGATATAAAGGTGCATTAACGAGAGCCGAGACTGAATAGAGGCACTGAGTGAGATCGTAATTACAGGGAGGTATACGGTACATATCCAAGATATTACCATGAATATATTACGGACGTCATCGACATTTCAAAAATTTTACCCCCTCTCCCCTTTTCCCCCATCCTCAAACTAATCTGAGCCGCTCATTCAAAGTTTCGTGCATGTTGACCTCAAGTGCTCGGTGTTCTGCCAGCTCGTCCGTTCTTCGACGTGCGGTGGCTAATGGGGGTATTGGTTCGTCCTGGTAAATGTTGCTAACATGCTAATGTGCAGGACAATGAGTGAGAGTGAACCGGAGGTGCACGTTCCGTCGACAGGCATGTGGGAATCTTCCCCGATTGCCAAAGAATGGCACGAAAATTGGGAGGCCTTCAAGGAGTATCTAGTAGTGTGCCAGGACGATACGCATCAGCTCTTTCGTCTTCGAAGCGCGGTGTCAGTAGCAAGCCGTAATGCTGAAATCCATGGCCAAGCTGGGGCCGGTTCCAACGGTGGGGGGACGTCGGGTTCGCTTATCCCGGAAGATTTCATTTTAAGCAAAGTACATCTGTACCCACGGCTGGTGCCAAAAAAGCCGCAGTACTGGGCAGCGCAAGCGCTACTTTGGCAAGTCGACGGAGTGTAAAGCTGGCATCAAGGCCGCCGTGACGTGGAACAAAGAAGAACGGAAGTTTATGGTCTGTGTTACAGGATCCAGCACAAGCCATAACCATCGAGTCGACCGAACTGTTTACGAGAATCATCCGTCAGTGCGTCGTGTTGATGACCCTGTACTTTTCGCATTTGTCGATGTGATGCAGTCCTCCGGTTCAAACCCCAAGCGCATCATGCAATTTCTTTGCGAAAAGACAGGTAAAAACCCATGTTTCACAACTGTGATTGCTACCCATTTTGACATCGAATGTAATCTGAATTATAGGTCAAAATTTGACCCTTCGTGATGTTCACAATATGGTTGCAAGAATGAGAGAAGAGCGCCGGGGTAGGGATACTGTCGAACAACGTCTGGAGACTCTTCTACGAAGATTTTGCGGGCGGGAAGGAAACCGATCTTCTGTGTTTGTTGATGACGAGTCCCTGGCACAAACAATCGCGTTGCACACGCGCCAAATGCGGAGATGGTTCAAAGCTTTTTCCCGAGGTACTCCTCGTGGATGCGACGCACAACACAAACGACTCGAGGTACAAGCTCTTCTCGTTTATGGTACATGACGTGTACGGACATGTAAGTACTGATACCTTTCGGTAATTAGAAGTACTTATTGTACATACGAGTATATTTGAAGCTACCTGAACGCTGACGCTTCTACTTATCGTATTATGTGCATGATTAGTGACAATACGTGCAGCACAGTCTAATGAACAATGAGAGTACTGAGTGCCTGGCGGATGCCATCGAGGCGTTCAAGCTCTCGAATCCGTCTTGGGAGCAGATACGGGTGATTGTAATCGACAGAGATATGGGCGAGCTGAGTCTGTTGGAGACGCATTTTCCGCATGTCAAAGTTATCCTCCGCCACTTCCATCTTAAGAAGTACATTCGCTCTGAAATGAAAAAGAGCAAGTACGGTGGACCGAGCAGCTTCGACATGGACCAAGTTGAAGACGCTGTGGACATGTTGAGAACGGCTCCAACGATCGAAGATTACACAAAGTACCTTAAGTATCTGTATTTCCTATTGGACACCACACATTTAGATTCAAACGACAAGATTCCAGAGCTTAAGCATCCATTCCTCCAGTACTTCATGAAAAATTGGGACCAGCAGAAGGAGCTCTATATGCTCGTTCAGACGTGCCACATTTGGGCAATCATACTAACAGTTGGTAAGTGTGCAACTGGGCGAATTTGATGCTGTTTGGTTTACTAACTGTCTCGGTGCACGTGCTAGACTGGAAGCTTCCTCGGACCAAATTAAGGAGAACTTGAAACCAGAAATGCCACTTGATGAATGTGTGGACACGCTGATTTTTTGCAAGCGGTGGCTGAAATGAAATACAGGAAAAAGACGATTGCCGTTGGGTACATGCGCTATCACGGTAACTGGAGCAACTACCGCATGAGGTGAGTACTCACGCTTATCGTCAGATTGAACAGCAGTATTGGGTTGCAAAGGATCGTGCAACTCAGTAGGAGGTGAACGAAGTCACGTCAAACAGTTATGCTGTGTCAAATGGCAGTGATGGAACCACTTTCCATCTCGATACGTCGGTGCATGCTATCGTTCGATATATGTTATACCGTTCAGGCTATTGACAGTGTTTATTTTCATGTTTTCCATCCAAAAATACCGATGTTCGGTGTGTTTTCATGCGTACCATGCTCTTACCATGTCGACCCATTATGTACTGGAGGCTAACTACGGGAAAAGCGCGATAACGCATCGTTATATTGTTCCGAGGTGGCGATTGTCGAGCAAGCTGAACCAGCCTGCCGAAGAGGAAGATGTTCCAGCCGATCAAGTCTCACGAAAGTCGTTTCAAGTTCGCGAGTCGGCAATGATAGCTAGTAAGCATCACGTACTCAACGGTACTACCAAGTTCAAAACGGTTTGTCGTCGTGGCACTCAAATTGTGGGCATCATGAGTCGGAACGGAACTGTAGTTTTCAATGAAGTGATGGCTGCGTTGGGCGAGTTAGAGGAGATCATCAAGGATGGAGTTGTGCACACTATTGGTAACGAGTTCGGCTAGCGAAGGTTCAGATGCACCCCGCCCCGCGGCTTTCACTATCAGCAAGAGTGCAAAGAGTCGCGGTCGTCCAAAGGTGCGGAAGCAACAGAAAGGGTCGGAGAAGAAGAGCCGCATATCTTGTGGAAAACAAAAGGCAACG